TAGTCAAGATAGCAGAATTCCGAGATTGATTCGCTGCTCAACATCGCCTGACCATTCGCCAAGTTGAGGCGGTTCGAGAACGAATCGCCTTGTCTTCAGATACCCGAACGTTGGTTGCTCGGTAGGCGAATGCCATGGGCGGTGGGAGAGGTTAGACGCGCCATAGTGAGTGGCAACAATCTACCTAGTTGGACCGGCCATGGTGATGTCTCAATCAACAACCCCCATTTAGCAGAAAGTCAGAAAGTTCACCAACAACGATAGGCCGAGGAGTTTCAGATGACCATGCTGAAATTGCATTTCAACTCCCGAGACAAGCGTTTGGGTGCCTTGATGGTATCAGATGACGCCTCCCGCTGTGGGGGTTCTGCCTTGTGCAAGTGACAGGGGGTGGAAGGCGCTACCGCACTGGCGGCAGCTCTGCCTGGCGCTGCCACCACCACTGTCCCAAACAGGCAGGGCCGTGAGTCACAGGTGATGTTGCGCCAATCGCGTCGCTTCTCGGCCCACCAACACCCTAACTGAGGCCATGCCCGATCAACCCGGCCGACCAGGCGGCTCACCATGACTCCAACGCCGTCGCAAAGGGGGCCAATAAGGCCCAGAAAGGGCCAATAAGGATCCCGACCTCTGACAGAATGCGCCCTATTCTATAAGACAAGGTCCTCTTCTCCACGGTTCTGGCGTCTTCCCCTGGCTTCGGTCAGACGTTTTGCGGCTTTCTCGCATCACCGGCGAGTCCTCACCTGCGCCAGCTAGGCACACAGCACACCAGCGTCGCTCGACCAAAAGGACAACAACACCGTTTTTCACTGCACTATAAGAGCCGATGATGGGTTTGCCACTCCTCAACTACTCCTCCATCACCTCACTCACCTGCGGGGACGCCCCTTTGGGTGGGACCTCCATCACCCCGGAGTCCGACAACCCGGACCTGGACCCCTCTAGTCCGGGCTGTTACCGGCCCCGGCTCCACACCCGACGCCCGCGCCGCTCTTACCAAGACGACCTTTTCCAACACAACGCCAGCTCACACTCCACCCGAACCCGCCCCGACGACTTCCGCAAAGCCCACCGCTCCCGCACCGCCCGCCTGCGCCAGAAACACACCCCATCCCACGGCCTCGCCCGTCCGGCAGCCGCCGAAACACACCATGTGAAGCCCCGCAGCCCGTGGGCCGCCGACGCAGACGAGGGTTGTGCCCTGGCACGTTCCGCTATTCAACTCCCCGGAGAACACAAGCAACACCCCCAGAGACCCCACCGGCAGAACAGCAGAAGCAGGAGTTGCGGGTCTTCGGACAGGCGGCGACCGCCGTCTTTGGAGCGGCAAGACGCGTTTCGAGATGAGCGGACCGCGAAGCGGCGGAGGGAGGAGTGCCATGGCACCTTGAGCTTCACCTCGGATCTTGAGCGGGTGGGCCGCATGGATAAGGGTGAGGCGGAGGAGATTGCGGAGCTGTACCGCATGGGATTGCTCTACGACGACGAGCACGAGCGAGGCGAGGGGTTCTCGCTGGACAAGATTGTCCGGGACGAGCCGGCGTACTCGCTGCGTGTGAGGCCTGCCAAGCCGGGCAGGCGGGGGGAGAGTCAGAGAGCCGACTTCGTTTCCTTGTCTGTTGATTTGGCGTTTTCGGCGTTCGGCGAGGACGAGGCGTTGGCGTGCTGGCTGTTTGACGGCTCTGAGCAGATTGTGTTGGACGAGATCCCGCGGCAGAGAGAGCCCGTGCATGATACCCCCCGGTTGACGGTCATTTACGAGTTGGTCGACAATGTTTCTGAGATGTCGGCCGACGATTTCCTTGATTCTGTTTTGGTTTCTGAGATTTCTTGTTTGGAGGAGGAAGACGAGATGGCTTGGGCAGTGATTGGTGGGATTAATGAGAAAGATGCAGTGCCTCCGGCAACAGCAGTGGTGGAGGTGGAGGACGACGACGCTGACCCCTGGGTTGTGCTGGGCCAGGACGGCTCGTAGCAGGTCCGCCACATGGGATCCCTGACTGCCCTGGATCTCGGCCGGCATGCGGCTGCGGCTGCACCCGGATTGGCCCTCTGGCGGTCCAGCACACCAGGCGGATGGCGGAGTTGTCCAGGGGGATGGCAAGTTGTGTGCTCGTGGCCACGGCTGCTGAGCTCGCTTGCTCCCTCAAGGCGGGTTGTACCAACATTTGTACTCGCAAGCATCATGGCGGTTGCCGGAGCGGGCTGCATTGCTAGGGGCTTCATTTCTTTCATTCTTGGGAGCATTCTGTTTTAGATTTTATGAGATGATGACATGCGGCCCGAAAAGGGTTCAGATAAATCTGTTGCTGGGGGGGGATTCACATTGTCGTGACTTTGCTTCTGGTCTTTTGTGCTCGAACGATAGGTCTCAAAAGCCAACTCAAAACGGATGCCACTACTCTACACGAAAGATACATGAACTGCTTTTTTCCTCGAGCGATATTTCGGTCATCCAAACCAAAAACGCAATGATCTTGCTTTCTTCCTTGTTCCCGACCGTTTATGTGTATCGCTTATTGCGTGTTTATATTTTCTTTTTCTCCTTTTCTTCGTCCCTCACATCTTTTTCCATCATGCCTCGTTGTTCTTTACCTACCCCCTTCGACCTTTCCCCCTTCTCCCCAGAAATAACAACACGCAAGGCGCAAATTTGATTACATCTGCAGGACGCCCTTCATTTAACAACTGCGCGGAGTCAGCGATCGGATAACCAAGGCTTGGGCCCGGCCGGCATCGGCTCAAGACGGGTTTCAGCGTTGCATAAAGCTCACGTTGCCGAGTCGAAGTGACTCCCCTTGACTCACGACAAAACCAGCCACACAACTCGCAACACAAGCTTTCCCCCACACACAATGGCCACTGGCGTTCCCGTCCCCTCCATTACGGCCCTCGCTGCCCAGGCCACAACCTTCAAGTCCCTCCACACCCCGGGCAAACCCATCCTCCTCGCCAACGCATTCGACGCCACCTCGGCGCGCATCATCGGCTCCCTCCCGGGTTGCCGCGCCCTCGCATCCGCCAGCTACGCCCTCGCCAAGTCAATCGGAACCACCGACGAGCAGCTCACCCTCGAGCAAAACTTCACCTTGCTCGCCCCCATCGCCGCTGTCGCGCACGAGCTCGGTCTGCCCCTCACCGTCGACATCCAGGACGGGTACGGCGACCAGCTGGAGAATGTCATCCGTCGGGTCATTACAGAGTTAGGAGCTGTTGGGGTGAACCTGGAGGACTCGCACCACGAGGATGGGCGGATCATGGAGGAGGGGGAGGCTGTGGGGAGGGTTGCAAGGGCGGTGGGAGTGGCCAGGGAGCTTGGGGTGCCGGACTTTGTGATCAACGCCAGGTCGGATACGTTTCTGATGGGTGGGGATTTGGAAGAGTCGATTCGGCGGGGGAGGAAGTACCTCGAGGCGGGGGCCACGACGGTGTATGTGTTTTGGCCGCCGAGCAAGGAGATGGTGGAGGCAGATGTCAAGCGAGTGGTTGATGGGCTAAATGGGAGGGCAAACATTCAGCCCAGGAAGGTTTCGCAGGTGCAGACCAAGGCCTTGACGAGCGCGGATGTTGCTCGGTTGGGCGCTGCGAGGGTCAGCGTCGGGCCGCAGCTGTTTCACGCTGCTGCAGCAGCAATCACTGCCGCGGCGAATGAGGTGTTTGGCTTATAGAGGCAGACGAAACTTGAGTCACTTGAAAGCAGAATATTTCGGGACACTTTGTTGCGACGAGAGCCAACTGAGAATGAGTGAACCCAGGGATACAGGGCAACAAAACACGATCACCACCAAAGTTGTCTCGGAGAGTCATCAAGGATTGATCATGATATGGCTTTTCTTGGGTTTACAAAGCATGGTGCCAACAAGTGAAATGGCTCCAAAGCCACTTACCTTTTCAGAACAAGAAGAAGAAGACGAAGAGGGCTTTCCTCTTCCTCTTCCTCTTCCTCTTCCTCTTCCTCTTCCTCTTCCTCTTCCTCTTCCTCTTCCTCTTCCTCTTTCACTCTTTCATTCTTTCATTCTTTCATTCTTGCTTTCTCAGTATCGTATTCCTCTGTATCTTCCTTCCTCTATTTCTTCTTCTCTTTCTTCCATTCTTTATTGTAAACCAGAGCAATCCCACCAACATGAATTTGTTGAATTGGATCTTCCTTTCCAGGCGTGTCTAGTCATGCATTCAGAGAATACTAGTATCTGGTGCGCACTGTGAATTCAGCTGTCTGAACAAAGGCCATATGAATAAGGGCTAGCATACTTGCTTTGGGAAATCAATCTTGCAAGTGGTCCCAGGTTCAAGCCCTGGCTCGGGCTTAAAACATGAGATAAGAGGGCCAACAGCCTTGTGCCAGGCCATACTCCGGAGCGAGTATGAACCTGCTGTGCACCCCGTCATCGATGTGATTTTGAACAGACCGACTCCCGCCTCTCTACGAGTAGGATATAACGACGCCCAGGCTATTTAACCTGCCACAGACCAGGGAGGTTGGATTCCCATGCTGGCAAATATGACATTGTCAGCAAGTGGTCTTCGGTGAACCTTGGAAGGGGAGAGGGGGGGAACATCTCGGAACCATCGAGATGCGGCCATTGCTTTCATCACCCCGAAGGAATCCACACCTTGGAAACGAGAAAATTTGTGAGACCATGGTTTGATGCGAGGTCACCCTCGCTTCTCTCTATACAGTACCCTTTGACTTAAGGTAGAACCAGTTCTGCTATACAGTACATTTGTACTAGCTCTCATGCCACCTGGGTACCTACACAATGTATATGGACTCGAGGATCACCGGATGGTTGCTACAACTCACCGTGTTGGAGCCCAGCGCTCTGGGGAGGGCGACAACATGGCAGTCATTGGATACCCCAAAACAGCAGGAAGCCCAAGGGTCCAAACAGCTGATTACCATGCGCTTAGCGTGGGAGAGATAAAACTGTAGGGTAGAGTCTCAAAGAACTGATGAATCTCACACATGGCGCAGAGGATGCAGATGAAAAAAAAAGGGGCCGAGCCAGGGCTTGAACCTGGGACCACTTGCACGATTGATCTCCCAAAGCAAGTATGCTACCACTACACCACACGGCCTTCGTTGAAACATAATGTGCAAATGTTTGAATCATGTGGGTTGGTGATGTCGCAGTCGAGTTGAGCGCCGACTTACACAGTGTGTGTGTTGGCGCACGCAAGTGGCAGGGGCGACTTGGGCTGCTCCTTCCTTAAAGGGCACATTCCAAAATCGACCACCACAGTACAATTCACCCATTTTGTTTTCTGGCAGACATTGCGGAATCTAAAAAGCAAAATCCTTTTTCTTTTGGAAAAAGAAAAAGCAACTTATGCTCCTCAATCATGCTTCTTCTCTTTCTATCTGTCTTCTGGAACCTTCTTCTCCTCCCAACCCCCCCTCAACTGTCCTCCCTCCTTCTCTTTTTTCCGCTCCTTTGCCTTCTTCTCTTCTATTTTTTCTTCTTACTCTTCTTCCTCTTCCTCCTCTCTTCTTCTTCTTCTTCTTCTTCTTCTTCTTCTTCTTCTTCTCTTCTTCTTCTTCTTCTTCTTCTTCTTCTTCTTCTTCTTCTTCTTCTTCTTCTTCTTCTTCTTCTTCTTCTTCTTCTTCTTCTTCTTCTTCTTCTTCTTCTTCTTCTTCTTCTTCTTCTTCTTCTTCTTCTTCTTCTTTTTCTTCTTTCTTTTTATTGTTGACAGGGAACTAACATGGCCACTCCAATCCCTGATAAAATGTTCACTGTAATGGTGTCCCTGGACATCTTCAGAGTGGCGTGAATGCAGGGGATGAAGTCATTGCATGTCATGAGCCCATGACACCGAGTTGTTCCTTTCACCTTTGACCTGTTGGAAACCAGAGCACACTGCTTGAATAGTGTGGATTTCTTTCAAGAAGCTTTGGCTCAAACAGGGAAGATGTTTGTTCCATCTTCCCTGTCCTCATCGCTGCTCCTCACTCCGACGCCTATCTGTTCAGGCGCTTCCTCTCTTAATGGTTCCACTTACATCATGCGGTATCGAGATTGAAGAATGCATTCTTACTTCAAGGTTTGCTAAAGACCAATCTGAAGAAGAACCAGGCCAACTTTCACCAAAAGCAGGCCAATGAAATTCTGGTTTATTTCGCCAGAAATTTGAGCTCTTTCCTCTTGTTCCTCTCTTGCTCGACCGGCCCGAGTTTTGGCGCTTCCCAGGCTTATTCATTGCGAAACCTGCCACCCACAGCCCAAATTTTCTTTCCACCCCCCCAACTCAAGTTGTATTCCAGTGCTGGCATCAAAAAGACTGGTCTCTGTTTTTGTTTAAGACCTGCTTATTTCTCGACCCTGGGCTACCTTAGCCAACCGATTCAAAGCTCGTCAGTTAAATTCTCTTCACGTCTCTTCAGTCCACAATGTCCGACAACCAGACTGCTTCGCTGGCTTTGCAGCTCAAGGCCATGGAGGACGAAAATCTCCAGCTCAAGATCGATATCGCCGCATTGAAGAGCGAGCTTACAGAAACCAAGAAAAGCAATACAGAACTCAAGAATGAGAACAACGACTTGAGAAATCGCCAACTCTTGCTCGAGTCTATCAATGTCGGCATCATGGATGAGACTGCCACGTCCCTCTCGGAGAACGAAGCTCGGCCCATTGCGTCACGGTCAACGGAGAGCAGTGAGTTTGCCTCATTTTGTTTTCGTCCTCAATACGCGTTGCTAACCGTCAACAACAACAGTGCTGGTGCCTACAATTCCCTGGACCCAAGTCGGCGTCAGTGATGACGGAGTTCCGTTCAACAAGGAGGACCCGGACAGCTGTTTCATCACACCGACCAACTCGAACGGGAACACTATCATTCGAGCCCATCAAAATGTCGTCCATAACGTGCTGGCTGAACGGCGCAGGAGGGCAGGTTCATTGTCCTCCCAGGAATGCATCCTCGGTGGAAGCCATGTCACGTTCCATTCTCCGACCCCTCAGCAAGATGACGATTGTTGATGATGCATTGCGAAGCTTTCGCAACCCCGGAAAGAGACACGCTTGATGCGCGAGACAACTGGAGGGATATGGGTACTACGATCAAGAACATGGTTGGAAGAACAGGTCCATTGCGGGAAGCATGTGGAACAAGTCGGGGAGAATGTCGAGGGAATCAGTTTAGGAGGAATGTCACCAGACGAAAGGGGGTGAGCAAGTAGGAGATGTTCCAATTCTACCTCGAACACGCTTCCAAATCCCAGTTTTACATCAACACCGCGTGCCACCTGTTGTTTTATCTATCAGGTTGGGTTCCCAAACGGCTGAGAGACAAGCCTCCAGCATTTTCCTGCCACTCACATCAGGAGGCATTCCATCCTTCTTTTTGAAAGCAATTCGTTGGCACAGACCTCTAGACCCGAGCCGACATCTAGGGAAAGAAAGCAACTCAAACTCCGACTGAAAACAAACCAACTCCAGATGTCTGTACGTGTATCCGGTCAGACAAAAGAGAAACCATAAGATCATTCTACATCGTCAGTCCACTACAGGCGGGCAACGAGGCCTCAGATGACAACGCCTTGCTCCTGGCGCGCCTTGAGAACGGCGCGATTCGCCAGGCGGGCCAGCTCGGCGGCAAAGTCGTCGACCATCTTCATATGGGTCATCTCGTCGCGGGCCAGCCGACGGAGGCGCATCTCCTTGATCAGCAGCGGCGCCGAGTTGAGAATATCGAGGTCGACGTCGGCGAGCGGGTGGAGCGGGTTGTGGATCATGTTGCAAAAGATGGTCCAGATGGCGGAGATGGGGTAAAAGACGGCCATCCTGAGCGGTTAGCGGATGAACAAGACATGAAGTTGAAGAATAAGGGGGATCAAGACAGGAATGCAAAAGGGTAGCAAGGTAGGATCAGGACGGAAATCAACACGACAGACGGCGAGAGAGCAGACGACTCACCAGAAAACCTCGCCCATGAGGTTGTGGACGATGGTGCGCAGGTAAATCATGGTGGAGCGGCTCGCCTCGACGGCGAGCTCGAGGCTCGAGCTGACGCCCTCCATGACAAAGCTCTGGCGGGCGGTCCAGGAGCGACACCTGCCGGTGGCCTCGTGAATGGTAGCCACCAGGTGGTGGTACTCGACGTGGATCATGATGCGCTCCATCTTTCGCGGCTCGGACATGTCCGGCTGGGGCCGCTCCTCGCGCAGGGACAGGGACGGGCGGAAGCCGAGCGGCACAGAAAGCCGCCAGGCCTCGAGCTCGTCGTCGAGGTGGCGGATGTCGCGGATGAGCTCGGCATCCGACTTGCGGATGGCGCGGGCCGAGTAGAGCAGCGTGTACGTCTTGGACTTGATGATGTCGAGGCGCACGTCGCCCGGGAGCAGCGGGACGGCTGTGTCGTCGAGCAGCAGATGCTCGAACTCGGGGATGTCGTCGACGTACTTGAAATCGAGATACCCCTGAGGGAGCGTCAGGTCGCAGTCGTCGTCGTTGATCGACGGCGGCTGGCCGGTGCGCAGCGAGATCTCCTTGTCGTTGCAATAGATCATCCAAAAGAGCTTGCGCAGCTGGTTCTTGACGCGCCACGCCTTGTCGGAGACGGATGTCAGCGGTGGGACGACGATGGTGTTGGCGCCAAGCGTAAACATCATGCGGCAGGCGACAGAGTGGAACACGGCCGCCTTTTGCAGCTGCCCGAGCAAGAAGTGGTACAGGGACTGCACATACAGTCAGTTCGGCTCACGGTTCTTCCGACGCCGGGAAACACAAACTCACCAGGATGAAGCAAGCCTGGAGGCCGTCGATGGACGTCTCGTGGAGGACCTGAGGCAGCAGGTATTGTGCCTGGACCGCGCACTCCTCGCTGTCGAGCGAGGGCATCGAGGTAGGGTACATGTGGTGGAGGGACAGGAGGGCGAGGAAGGCAAAGATGCAGGTGCGGGCAGCGACGGACTCGAGGGAGCACCAACCGGCGCGCTCGTCGTAGGCGGCCTCGATGGTCTGTTTGAACAGGACGGCGTCGATGGCCGGCCAGATGCGCTTGAAGGGATTGGCCGCGAACATCTCGAGGCACTCCTCGACGACGTGGCGCTCCGGCAGCTCCATGCGGGAGGAGAGGTGCACGGAGCTGGGGCACAGGAAGGCCGGGTGGGCACGGGGCCGGGCGGGGGCCGAGAGGGACAGGGCCTGGAGCGGGGCGCTCTCGCCGGTCCGGGAGGCGATCCACTTCTGGCCTTCCTTGGAGAGGAAGGGGATGCCGTTGTGGAGACTGATGTCGCCGAGGTGCCGGCCGGCAAAGTGGAGCTTGCCAAAGACGGGCCCCTGGACGGACGCGGGCGACTCGGCGCGGATCGGCGAGTCTGCAAAGTGGTCCGACAGCTGGTAGCTCGGCGACGTCACTAGACTGCCCGAGTCGGGGGTGCCGTAGGTCGAGGCGTTGGTCTCTGCCGCCGAGGATGGGGTAAAGGGGGCGCTCCAGTTTATTGGCTGTTCGGGCAGGGCCTGCGGAGACGGAGACGGGAGACTTTCAAAGACGAGCACTGGCGGCGCCGGGTCCGGGATGGGTGCCCCAACTGCCCCGACTGCGCCAACGACCTGGACTGCCCCAACTGCCCCGACTGTCTCGACGGGCTTCCCTGCGGGCTCCAAGGGTTCCACGATCTCCATGGGGTCCCCCGCCGGGGGTATGCGCTCTGCATTTGCGGGCCTAACGTGGCCGTCAGTTGTGGAACTTGTTGGTGGTACGCGGCTCTCAAATTAAGGTGCAACGTACTTCTTTGCCTTCCCCCTCCGGCGGGTGGAGATGGGGCGGTTGAAGGTGCATGGCAGTTCGTGATGGCGGCACCAGTCGCAGCGGGGACTGGCGGCATCGCATTGGATCTACATAGGAAGGTGTCAGTGCCAACTTCAAGTGTCCGTGTCCGTGTCGGTTTTCTTTTCATGAAATATGAAATGCGTGACATGGAAGCGTTGCGGGAATAACGTGGACGTGCCTTGCGCTGGTAGCATGAATCGCAGGCCCTCTTCCTCATCCTTGTCACGGCGCTGGGGGCGGCTTGTGCAAGATGTGCTGTACTGTATATCTGTATATGCTGTCGTGGTGTTCACAATTTCTGGGATGGG